CTATACACGGGGTATGTTTATATCTTAAAATTTCCCGTAAAAATTTTAGCCAAGACTATGAACATTAATTAATACCTAACGTGTAAAAAAAGATTTTTTCTATAAATATAACTGACTGAAAATATGAATGGACAATCTAGAATCTTTGAAATTTTCCTCGACCATCATAAGAAAAATCAAGGGGTAGCAAGACTTTATTTGGTTTAATTTTCTTGTTAAAATTAATAACAAACTACGTAGAACTTGGTTTATTTATAGTAATAAATAATTTCTATATATAAGTGTAAAAATTTCCTTATTAGTGTGGTAACTAGGGATTCTTATAAATTAATTTGTTCAATACGTACGTATTTATCATTAGGGGGTGATTTAATTTCACTACGTAGCATTTTTCTGTCTTTAGAAGTAATACATCCACTTCTATAGCGATAGGTACAGCGATAGGTATAGCGATAGGATAACTTTTTTCTAATTGGGCAATCACTTTTAAGAATAACAACCGTCTCTATCTTCAACAGTTATTGTGCAAAAAAAGAAATCTTTGATCTTGAAGTACTTTACTAAGAAATGAAATTCTAACATACATATAACATATACATATATACATATAACATATACGTATGATAGATACTATTAAACTATATGTACCCACCACATAAAGTACTCGTCAATGAGATCGCTGAATTTGTGAATAAAATTCAATTTTAAAAATGAAGTTCTTGAACAAGATCCGGGTACTGCATGCAGTGGGCAAACGGTAATTATTATGTACAAAAAAAAAAAGAATGAAGTAATAACTAAAATGAAACCTTTATATATTAACACTATAATCACTATAATAAGTCTTTATCAGTTATAATGAACTCTGAATGTTTTTTTAAGTATTATATGCATTGCATTGTATGCTCATGAGAAAACATGTCAAATTTATATGGAACCCCCTTTTTTTCCTCATTTGTTGTTATAGACGAATTAAGTTAATAAAATTGACAAATAACATATATTTTATTTTCGCGAGTAATACAAACTTCTAAAAAGAAAGCAGCCATCCTGGATCAGTCCGATATATAATGCAAACATATGTTTAAATTGGTCATTAAAAAAAAAAAAACCTTTAAAGCTAACATCCTAATTCTAGATTCTAGAATGCTTATACTACACGCTTATACTATTAGCTAACTTTCTTCTGAATGGCCAATCATTTACAATTGCGTTTATGCAGCATTGTTGTCTTGTTGGATAAATTTAATTCTGAGAATGACTGAGAAGCCAAGCATTTACAATATTTGGTCCGGAGTTTCCAGAGATTGAGGCCGCGTTCAAAGAGGTGCTGCATTTGTGTACTGTAAGTTCTGTACGTACAGTACGTATGTTATTCGGTTAACCGGCGAGTAAACTCATGGGTTACTTGGGTAATCAACAGATATACCCAGCATAGAGAGCTTTTAATTTAATTGGATCCCAAAATTTGTTAGCCACGAATACGAATTGGAAAGCTTGGGACTTAAAAAATTTTAAAGTGTATGTTGCGTTTTATAAACTATCAAAGTAATACGGAAGTTAGATGAGAACTTTTAAGTTTAGCCTATAGGTATAATAAAACAATTAAACACGGCAATTAAACAGTCTTTTATTTGTGAAATTTATTTCTCATAATCCCAACTAATAAAGAAACCTGACAATAATATAGGCTAATAATACAGTATGAAATTGTGCGTCATAAAGCTTGTAAATTATACGTATAGAAAAGTTAAGTAGTGACACTGTAACCATATAACGATTATTAAATATAAAATTATCAGTTTGATATTAGGAAGCACTAAAAATTTTCTAAAATAGGGTTAAACATTTATTTTTGTATTTATTGCCTTTGTTTCGTTTTTTTTCTTTTTGATTCGTAGTACGTTAGGATTTTTTCTTTGGTTTGTCAAAATTTTGTCTACGGCAAGGTTATAGTTTTAGGCTTAAAGTCGAGATTACTCGGTTAACCGGTTAACCGGGTAACTGCGGGTAACTCGGGTAATAGTAATACCCGATCCGAGTATAATCTCTAATGGAAATAGTTAATTAATCACGATAAGATTTTAAAGATTACAAAGATTATAAAGATTATAAAGATTATAAAGATTATAAAGATTATAAAGGTTATATAGGACTAAACTCTAAACATATTTTAAACTTTATACTATCCCTTAAAACGTCTTGGCATACTTGGCATGCCCAAATTGTTATGAGTGGCTTATAATTGATATGTGATTGATCTATTCACAATGGATATTAGTTTGACATAAAAGGCGTAGCGAGTTCTTTGAGAAAACATACGGCGGCGAACCGAATACATACATTTACATATATCGTCACTACATAGATCGTCACATGATGACATAAGTTTCATGTGATAACTTATGTACAAACGGATAAATTTTGAGAAGCAAAGGTATCTTAGGGGTAAAGTTGTACGTAAACACGTAAGTACATTTTAACCGTCCCAAGCTTTTTTGTCCCTCAAGCTTTTTGGCTCCCAAGCTTTTTTAGCCTTATCAAATATCTCAATTTTAACTTATGTAAAATTCATTTTAACCATCTTAATTAAGAGCATATCTCAATTTTAACTTATGTAAAATTCATTTTAACCATCTTAATTAAGAGCATATCTCAATTTTAACAAATAAAATTGATTTTAACCATCTTAATTAAGAGCTTAGCCATTTTTTTAAAACCTCAAAATTTTCCCGACTTGGTACAACTCTGCTTAGGGGTTACATAATTTCCTTTAGTAGAAGACCTACCACCTCCGTAATAGACCGTTAATCTCTTCCGCATAAACAAAAATTACGTAACAATAATATTTCACTTAAAAAAATATGTACGTACGTACGTACAAGTTTCAGGAAGTTTCAGAAATAGAAAAAAATGAATCCAATTATACAAAATACAATATTAACCTCTATTTGATTGGCCAATAATCACGTGTTGGTGTATTTAAATTAACCAATTACGAGAAAGTTATTCTACTGTATGACGACATATACTTGGAAAATCATTCCATTTTTCCAAACTATACCATACCGCTTTTTTTTTACATGGCCTTGATCATGTATTACTGGAGAATTTACTTTATACCCGAATAGAATACATACTATATATTTTAAAAGAAATAATGACTTTTGAATGACTGGGTTTAAAAATAACCAGGATTCTATAAGAATAACAAAATTTTCCGAAGATTGGCAATAAATTAAAAATAGATACCCTGATTACGTAGTAATCATAATATGAATATCCTATAGGTTATCAAAGGTCTATCGCAACGAACCCTTATTAAATCTTATTAATAAACTTAATTTATTGAAATAAATAAAAATATCTACATAATAGTGTCACGGATTATTTATTCATTCATGGAATATTCATTTTAAAGATCCAATAAGAATATTTATTACAAATAAATTGTTTTACTGTACATATAACAGTGTTACAAAATATTCATTTTTTAGTTAAATGAAACGTTGTTTCATATGTTTCATATGTTTCATACAACAGTACGTACACTTACAATTATATAGATATTACACATAGATATTATATAGACATTACACAGTAGATATTATATAGATAAACTATTGTAAGTAACCTAGTTAATAAAAACATGATCAGCTTTAATATTCCTCTGCAACTTTTTAACGTTAATAAAAAAAAAAATGTTTAAAAAAAAATTTGCAATTGATTATTATATAATACGTAATAATCAATTCATATGTATAAGGAAATACGAAATTTAAATAACCCATTCAGGAACATGTTAAAGTGAAGTGTTTGGCAAAAAAAAGTTAAAGACCTGATTTGGTAACTTATCAATTATTCATGTTTTAAAACCAGTTGGTAAACTTTTAAATACAGTTTTCTGGGAAAAAAATTTCACATCATAATATATATATATATATAGTGTATATCGATTTGGAAGTTAGCTGCAATTAAGCATATTAAGTATTAAATAAATAAGTATAAAAAAAAAAGAAAAGACATGATTCACACATGATCGATGAAACCTTTTTTTTTTCCAAGTAATTTACTCCTTTTTGGCTGAACGCTATTAATAAACTTTGACTATACTCAAAAAGAATCTAGGAATATACATACGTAATACATTTATGACATCTGATTTGGCATCCATTTCTACGTAGAGATACAGATTGTATACGTACGTATGTAAGATGTCAGTACGGCAATACCATAATAACGGGAATTAATTAAAATTTTATTTTCTAGAAATCAAAACATAAACTCCTTTATATATATCGGTATAACTTCTTTTTTTTTTTTTTTTTCTTTGAAAATAAATACGCAAATTTTCTTAGGAAATCATCTACAAATTTGAAAAAAATTTGAAAAATTTAGTAAGGTTTGTTCTCTTGTTAGTCGAATTATATTGTCGTCTTATTGTCGTCTTATTGTCGTCTTATTGTCGTCTTATTATCTTAGGCGAAACATTTACAAGTATAGGCTTTATGCATATTAACGCATAAAATCCGTATAAAATAAAGAAAAGAGGTAACTCTATTTAGATTCGGGTCTCCTAGTGTATGCAGATCAACTACCAAATTTCGTCCAGTTCAAAATAAAAATAAAGATAATTAATTAGTGAAATGTTTTTGTGTATTTTTTTTATATTTAGAATTTGTAGCATTAAATTCGGTGTTACCCACGCTAAGTCTTTCATCTTAATAACGGGTAAACAATATATATATATATTTTCAACCAATATAATAAAGTAAAACCGATTCTTTTTGTAGTAGAACATATCAATAGTTACGGCATAGCGTTTAATTTTGTACAAAATTCATTTTAAGGGAAAAATGCAACCATTGTTTAAGGATATATATAAGGCACATGAGTCGCGATATTCTTTTAAAAACCTTTGTCGTTTTTAAAAACGCATTTGTTTTTGCCGTTTTTAAAAACACATTTATATATTTATATCTTCTAAAAATATTATTAAAATGAACATTATAAAGAAGATTTTAGTTCTCTATATTGTACTATGTACAATTTCATTAGTATTAGCAGTTCCTACATCACGAAGTCTTGAAAAACGAGCAGAGATTAATACAAATTTACTTGCTCCATTACCTCCTCCAGTTTCAACTTCATCACCTTCTGTTCGTGTATATGATTTTCTTTTAAATATAACTAATCTTTCACCGGATGGTGTTTCTCGCAGGGTTTGGACAGTTAATGGTGAATCAATCATGTAAAAAAAATCTGTTTCTAATTTAGTCACTTAATGCTAACTAAAAATTTCTTTAATATCAGGTCAGTATCCTGGACCAATGATTCTCGCCAATGTAGGGGATCAGATCATAATTAATGTCACGAATCAATTAGGAGAACCAGCTTCAATTCATTCTCATGGAATTATTCAAAAAAATTCTAACTGGTATGATGGGTAAGTAGTCGTCAAAAAAATTACTTTCTTTTCTTTTTTTTCTGTCGCAGTTTTTCATCTAACCCCGTTTGAATTAATAGTGTCCCTGGAGTTACACAGTGCCCAATACCCAATAATGGAAGTTTCGTATATAATTTTACTGTCGTCGATCCTGGAACATATTGGTATCATTCTCATTTTTTGGCACAGGTACGCGTCTTTTTTTTTTTCTGAATTAAGCATTAAAGATTATATTAATGCTGCAAAGTACTGTAACTGCGCTTAATTATTTGCTATTATCAGTTAAATATTCATTTACATATATATATATACATATATATATATGTAATGTATGTATATGATATATATATGTAATGTATGTATATGATATATATGTGTATGTATATGTATATATATATATATATATATTATATCTACGTATATATGTGTATGCTAATAATACAATAATACTAATAATACTCTCCCCAAATTCTTAGTATGTTGACGGATTATTAGGTCCGCTTATCGTTCAGGATTCAGCTGATCCTCATGCAAGTCTATACGATGTTGAATATGTG